CAGCAGTCTGTCTGTGTGTGTACACTCAGCAGTCTGTCTGTGTGTACACTCAGCAGTCTGTCTGTGTGTGTACACTCAGCAGTCTGTCTGTGTGTGTAGTCTGTCTGTGTGTGTACACTCAGCAGTCTGTCTGTGTGTGTACACTCAGCAGTCTGTCTGTGTGTGTATTTAGCAGTCTATGTGTGTACTTAGCAGACTGCTAAGTACACAGACAGACTGCTAAATACACAGACAGACTGCTAAATACACATACAGACAGACTGCCGAGCACACACACAAACTGCTTAATACACACACAGAGATGTTAATTAGTTCGGACAACTGTATGAGTTGTTTTTTCTAAACTTAAACCTCAGTATTCAGGTTTAAATGCTGTTTTGGCACTTTGAGGGGAAAAAATTGCCATGTATTACGGTTTGGGCACTCGGGCTCAAAAAGGTTCGCCATCACTGTCCTATGACTAGGCATGTGAAAGCTTAGCGTAAGCAGTAATGGCTGGAAATTGGTATAAAACTGGGACTGGTACTAAATGAGGAAAATAAAAAAATGACGGCCTTACTCATGAGCCTTTGAGATGCGTTTAACCAGTTTGCCCTCTTCCACATTAAGAATGTGAATGGACTTGTCCTTGGATACTGTGAAAAGTTCTAAAAAACAAAACAAAAAACAAACATAAACCACTGCTATGTAAATAAATTAAAAGCCAATTAATCATAGAAATGTTGCACATTCAGGTGTAAATCATCACCTTAGAGTTAAGCAAGCAGGAAAATGGTATATAAAGGATAAACACAGATAGGTTTAGGGGGCGTGGCCAACTACCGAGCTGAATGGCCGCATGCTGAAATGGCTCCGGGCAAAGCAGGCACAAAATAGATTAAATTGGAGGCTGTAAGCAAAGATGAAGGGAAGACCCCAGCGGGCAAAACAGGATCTCTATCTAAATTGTTTAAAGATTATGTGGATCGCATGTCGGATCACGGCGATTCCCATACGGCACCGACGGCCCTCAACTCCTACGCTAGCCGAGTCCAGCGGCATCAGAGACCTTCTTCTCAACTTACCCTCCAAAGCAGACCTCGCTACCATGCTGGGAAAACTGGAAACCTCCTTCCAACTCAAGCTGGACAGTCTTAGTTCCGACATCCAGCAGGTAGGTCTCCGTGTCCAAGAATTGGAGGATTACGCACCCTATCCTCCAAAGTAGAAACCCATGACAAAAACATGTCCCAACTTCACTAGATGACGTAGATAATAGGGGATGGAGGAACAATCTCCGAATCAGGGGCCTACCAGAGGCTCAGAACGAGGACCTTCAGTCCACCTTGACAGAACTGTTCAATCTGATGCTGGGGTGGGCATCAGACGCACTGGTCCTCCTAGACACGGCACACCATTCATTAAGGCCCAAAAGCAACGCAGGAGAGGCCCCGCAAGACATACTATTTTACAGTCAAAGAAGACATACTGAAAAAAACTGAGAGACACTAATCCCCCCTGTTATTCCACGGGCATGAAGTCCAAATTTATCCAGACCGCTCATGGCTCACCCTCCAAGCAAAAAGAACCCTCAGACCAATAAAGGACCAACTTAGAACCCAAAACATAAGACTCTGGTGGGGCTTCCCTTTAGCCCTAATTGTCACAAACAATGGAACTACCCATACTTTGGCAACACACCAAGATGTAGTACCATTCGGTAGAGCACTGGAACTCACAAACATATGCATCATGGATTGGTATGTTCCTGATCCAGCGCAGTTCCCCAACCAATAACCACAAAGACAAAGATGGAACTCCCCGCTGAAGAAACAGAGGACAGGTCCTGCAGAGGCCCAGCATTGTAAAGACAGGCACCCAGGACGTTCAGCTATGGGGTAACCCACTGATACAGATGTGCACAGGGTTTCCAGATGGACTAAGTACTCATAACTTCTCCCGACTAAACCAGGACTGCCACCCACACGGAAATATTTGTATTACCCCCCAGACTCTCCCAGGATTGTCACCCGAGATGGAACTCTCAACACTCAAACTCCCCACCGGCCTCAGCCCTGTCACATAGACCCTGCAACTCTCGGAACACCCTAAAGAACAAGATGGACTGAACATTGATACCCCAGGGACTGATAGCCCCACGAGGGATTGGCTATACGGCTCCTATTGCTGACTGAGACACGAGCCTGAATCGCTACATCCATAGACTGATGCTCCCCGAGCATAACCCCTGCCAACAGAGTCAACTAAGGTCGTCAGCCTTATCCAAAACAGAAATATTTTTAATACATTGCTTAGTAGGGCACACACTGCCCCAAATTTCATATACAACCCTAATGGGCAAGTACGGGATGCAGACTTACACAACTGCCAACAACACTGACAGCAAGGGAGGGGCACCATACAATCGAGACTCCGGGGGGGAAGAGGAGCATTCACATTATAATTATATATGGACCTACATGATGGGTTGACACACAGATAAACAAAAAAAAAGGGGGTTTCTATATATTACCTTCTTCCCTCCCCTCTGGACCTCACAAAGGAACTACTCCTATTATTCTCACTCAAAAGGCTCTTACTCGAGGATAGACATGTTCTTCCTCCCCCACAGATTCCTCAATCTCATATCCTCCTGTACATATGCATCAATCACATGGTCTGACCATGCGCCCCTAGCCATGACTGTAACGATCCCATCCCTAGACGCAGCAAGGGTCCTAAATGACACGTTCTTAAACTACACCGAGGTTCAAACCCAAATCATTTCACACATTGAACAGTACTTCTCCCTTAATGTACACCCAGACTTCTCATACCCAATCATATGGGAAGCACACAAGAGTACAATAAGGGGCGCCATCATCAAAATTGCTTCCACACATAAGAAACAGAGGGGCAAACAGACAACATAACTCATTCAGGAGATCATGACTTTAGAAGAAGCACATAAAACAGACCTAAACCTAGCAACTTGTACTGGTGGAGAAGAGAACTGAGCTTAACATTATCCTGAATATCCAAACCAAACGCAAACTTGCCCTCACAAAAAGCCTTTACTAGGCTCAAGCAAGTAAAAGCGGCTGCTTACTAGCGCACGTACTGAAAAAAACTAAGGGAAGCCACATTTATAGCTCCAATACAAAACACAGATGGCAAAAAATACAATTTCGTGTCCGACATCACTACAGCTTTCTATGATTTCTATTCCTCACTATACAACCTAAGGTCTACCCCTCTATTATCCATAGAGATACAGGACTTGCTCACCTCCACTATACCATCCAATGTAATACAATCCCTAGACCAGTCTATTACCCTGAAGGAATACCAAGAGGCGATCAAACATCTTCCCCTGGGGAAAAGTCCAGGTCCGGACAGCCTCACGGCAAAATACTATTAATTGTTTTCAGCATCGCTTGCCCAGCATTTCCTCAACAAGTACAACTCCCTACTCAAACCGAATACCCTCCCGCCACAAGCCCTGAATGCCACAATTACCCTCCTATCCAAACCAGGAAAAGACCCGACCCAACATGGAAGCTATAGGCCCATATCCCTCATAAACATAGACTTCAAACTATTCATCAAAATACTAGTGAACCGCCTGCGCCCACTTCTCCCTGACCTGGTACATTCTGACCAATCAGGATTCATACCGGGCAGAGAGGCCAAACACAACACAACAAAAATACTAAACCTCAATCACCACTCCAAACGCTCGGGGGGCTTCAGTCTACTCCTGTCAATAGATTCTGAAAAGGCATTCGATAGGGTGCACTGGATCCTGATGAGGCACACATTAACGCTTTGGGCAGGGCCGGACTGGCCCACCAGGATACCGGGAAATTTCCTGGTGGGCCACGGCACCTGGGGCTGGGCTGACAGCCCTAATCATTGCTCAGGCTCCCGTGATCCCGGCCGGCTATGTGTGAGCTGTGCGGCCGCACAGAGCCCCATGGAAGCAGGGGGAGGCAGGCGGCCGGCACAGCTCACACATGGCTGGCATCATAAAAAAATAAAATAAAATTTGCGGCGGGGGCGGAGATAGCGTGCAGCGGGGGCGGGGCTTAGCGTTTGACAGGGGCGGAGCTTACTGTGCCGCGGGGGCCTGGCTAACTGAAGCATGGGAAGCAGGAAGGAGTCCCTGCTTTACCAACAACCAGCCTCCAGGAGCTCCAAGCGGGAGGTAAGAAGCAGGTCAGTGTGTGTGTGTGTGTGTGACTGCCTGTGAGTGTGTGACTGCCTCTGTGTGTGTGACTGTCTGCGTGTGTGTGTGACTGTGTGTGCGTGACTGTGTGTGCGTGTGTGCGTGTGTGTGACTGTCTGCCTGTGTGTGCGTGTGTGACTGACTGCCTGTGTGTGCGTGTGTGTGACTGACTGCCTGTGTGTGCGTGTGTGTGACTGACTGCCTGTGTGTGCGTGTGTGTGAGAGAGTGTGTGTGACTGTCTGCCTGTGAGTGAGTGTGTGACTGTCTGCCTGTGAGTGAGTGTGTGACTGTCTGCCTGTGAGTGAGTGTGTGACTGTCTGCCTGTGAGTGTGTGTGTGTGAGTGTGTGGCTGTGAGTGTGTGTGAGTGTGTGGCTGTCTGCCTGTGTATGTGGCTGTCTGCCTGTCTCTGTATGTGTGGATGTTTGCCTCGGTGTCCGTGACTGTCTGCCTCTGTGTGTGTGTGTGTGTGTGCGCGCGCGCGCATCTGCTAGTGAGGGAGCCTCTGTATGTGTGTGCCTGCTAGTGAGTTTGTGTGTGTGTGCCTGCTCGTGAGTGAGCTTGTATGTGTGTCAGTGAGCTTGTCTGTAGGGATCATATGTGTGTGTGTGTGTGTGTTAGTGAGCTTGTCTGTAAGGAGCATGGGTGTGTCGGAGCCTGTCTGTGGTGAGCATGTGTGTAAAGTGAGCTTGTCTGTAGTAAGCATGAGTGTGATCGTGAGCTTGTCTGTAGTGACCGTATGTGTGTCAGTAAGCTTGTCTGTAGTTAGCATGTGTCAGTGAGCTTGTCTGTAGTGAATCTGTGTGTTAGTGAGCTCTTCTGTAGGGAGCATGTGTGTGTCAATGGGCTTGTCTGTAGGGAGAGTGTGTGAGCATCAGTGAGCTTGTCTGAAGTGAACGTGTGTGTGTGTGACAGTGATCTTGTCTGTAGTAAGCTTGTGTGTGTATCAGAGTTTGTCTGTACTAAATTTGTGTGTGTGCCAGTAACCTTGTCTGTGTGTCATTGAGATAGTCTGTCAATGAGCCTATTTTTGTGC